CAACTATCTCTTTCTCCCTCTGTATGCTCATCCATCCTCCTTGTCCGGCTTCTCCCTCCGGCCTCCAAACCTGCTCCGGGTAACCAAGTTTCTATCTTCTGCTCTGTACGCGGGACCAAATTCCTCGCGGCATGTCCCTCCTCGACTCCTCCGGGCCCGCCAGCTTCGCGACAACCTTTTTCAAACGCCGGGCGGCGACGGTGGGCGACCCGTTCTCTTGCCAGCTCTGCGCACGGGCCAGACGTGCGCTGATACCCGAAGTCAGGAGCGGCACTGATCGGAACTGTGGGTGGCCCCCGGTGGCGGGGGGTTGCGGGGGTGAGGGTGGGTTGATTTTGGGGTTGTTGTTGTTGTTGTTGTTGTTGTTGTTGTTGTTGTTGTTGTTGTTGGGAAGATGGATGGGTGGTGGGGGGATCCAGTAGGTGTGGAGGAGGGCAAGGAGGGATTGGGTGAGGCGCCAGATGCGGATGCGGTCGCGCAGGCTCCGGAGGGTGATGGGAAAGCGACTCGGAGCTAGGTGGATGAGGTCGGTGGTGTCGGTCTGGCGGTAGAGCCAGCGCCAGTCGATGGCGGCAGCTTGTTGCTGGTGGCGGCGTGCTTCGAATAACCAGCCGCGGTCGGGGGATGTGGCACGAAATCGGGAGGCCCAGAATTGTTGGCTGTGGAAGATGGGTTGGAGGGCCCGCGAGGCGAGACGGGCGCGGAGGACGTCGGCGGTGGGCAGGTGCATGGCGATGGCGATGCGCAGCTCCATGGGGATAGCGGCGAAGGGGTCGCGTGTGTCTTGCTGTGGTGTAGTAATGGATTCTCCGGTGGTGATGGTAGCAGGTTTGTGGACGGGAGTGGAGGGCTGGGGTGGCTCCCCAGGTGCCTCGGTAAGGATATGGGCGATTTCGACAATGCGGTATGGATCGCTGTACAAGGCGGGGTCGGCCGGCGACATCCGGTTCTTAGCCGCGTATTCCCATGGGAAGTACAGGGAGTTAGCCCTGTCCTCGATGATCTTGTCGTCGTAGTCGTAGTCCCGGGTCAAGGCACCGAATCGGATGGGAGCCGGCTATGACTGGCAGATCTCGAGCAGCCGCGAGAGTGGGACGGGCGCCGGCGACAGGGCTTCCTCCAGCAGGCCCCAGCAGGCTTCGTGGAAGACATATTGATCTATGGAGCCACTCTGCCTTTCGATGACACCGATCTCAACCAAGGGGAGGGCGTGATAGCCTTCATCGCTCCAGCGCACGTTCCTATCCGGAGACGCCAGGTACAAGTCCGACGCGGGGTCTCGGTGCATGCCGACGCCTGTGAGCACGGTGGTGTTGGATTCGGAGTCTGTATAAACTGCATCAGTGTCAGTTAGGTAGGTACTTTTCAATGCCATAAGACCGACGTCGTCGAGGCAAAGGCTGCGCCCGACTTACGCCCCCGAAACTGCTTCGACCAATTTTGAAAAGGTTTCAAGTTGTCAATGTCATCAGCGTCCAGCAGTACGGTCCGATGCGCTGTCACTTTCCACCCACACAGCGCACAGCGGCAACCAGGTTTGTGACGTTCCATCCCGTTCATTTTCAATTTTTCCTTTTGGTGGTTCGACTGGCGCCGGACAGCTTCATGTGTAGGTAGCAGAGGTTTGAAAACAAACTTGACCGAGAGTCCGAGACGGTTCACGGTTGTCGCAAAGCGGGGTGTTAAGGGCCCAAACAAGACTTGAATTGGTTGGTAGGCACGAATACTGTACGTAGGTAAGTACCTATTTACCGTACATCCCCCCGAGATGGGATCCTTCCAATTCCACCAGGCAACACACCGGATGGCGTTAGACCGGAATGAATTCAAGTAAAGACCTGGGATGAGAGGTTGAGAGCCTAGATTATATGTTTGCTGCTGTTCACTTCCGAAATCCGGTTAAATGACGACTAGCCTCACAGCCTAACCTAATTCCGACAGGAGATAAATATATTGCAATACAAGAGCTTGGTTGTCGTTTTAGCAAAGCTACTGACCCCTACCTATACAACTGTCATCAGCTAATATCAAAACTAGCCGTTAGTTGTTAAAAAAAGGAGAACCTCGGTAGGTATTAGCTGGGCAGTTTCCACCTTCGCATCTGCTTGGTAAATCAGCAAACTCTCGTAGTCCTCCACCCCGTTCCAGCCGACGTGGCGCAATCGGTTTAGCGCGTCAGACTTTTAATCCCCAATTGAGAGATCTGAATGTTGCGAGTTCGAGTCTCGCCGTTGGCGTCCTTGTTTCTCGAAACGGACATCAGAACGAATCTTTGCTTTTTTTGGCTTCCAAGACTGGTGAATTTGAACCTGCCATGCCTTTTTTTTTGTTTTCATCTCACATGAAAGCAGGTCACGGGGTTGAACCCAACTGCATGTTCTCAATAACCGAAACTATCAACTTTTACAACCTCCATCACTACCACTCCATAACAAACAGAACAACCAAATGCCCATCATCAAACTTCGTCAATTTCATCAGCCGCCCAAAGTAAACCTAACTGTTGGAGCAAGAATACCATGTACATGTACACCCAGTCATGAACCCTGCCCACCACCACGGGCGCGTCGGCCCGCCCGCACCATCAAAAAAAGAGCACCGTGATATAATATCCGCTTCCCAACCCCGGGCCCGTAGCCAATCCGAATCCCACAGCCATGTACTGTACTGTACCGCCGTGCTGGGGTATGCCGTATCGTGACGTAGATATTAAAGGAAAAAATAAAAATAAAAAAATGAAACAAAAAGGAAACCCGCTGACCAATGCAAGAAAACAACAACAACAACCACCAACGACACACACAATCACCTCACACACCCGCGACGGGCTACTCCGCCGGGATGATGATCTCCTCAGACCCCAGCGCCCCCTGCCCCTTGGGGTACGTCACGCAGCGCAACTCCGCCGCCTTACCACCCTTATAGTCCACAAGACGGATCTCCAGCTCGCGCATCACCACCTCGCGCAGCTCCTGCCTCTGCGGGTCGTCGCTGGTGGCGGCGCTAATCTCCCTTACCAGGGCCGCGGGCAGGGAGAGGACAGGGTATTTGGCCAGCAGCAGCTTGGCGGTCTGCAGGAGGCTGACCGCGACGTCGGGCAGCTGCGGCTGGTCCCACACGCGGCGGATGAGGGCCACCGCGGGCGGGTTGGGGCAGTCCTTGCCGCCGGTGGGGTCGGCGCCCTTTTCGAGGAGCAGTTTGAGGATGGCCGGGTTGGGGTTTTGGCTGGCGCGGTGCACGTAGCTGGACTTGGATTTGGGAGGGATGTCCGGGAGGGCGTAGCGCGAGAGCATGTCCTGAATGATCTCGACGCGGTCGTCGCGGATGGCGAGGTCGAACGCGGTGAGATAGCGCCGCTTGACGAAACGCCACTCGTCCTCGTCTTCTTCCTCGCTAAACAGCTTCTGGAGGAGTTCGTCCGAAGGCGTGATGAACGGGTCGGCAACTTCTTTCATAAGCGCTACCGCAATGGACACGTAGTTCTCGCTCACGGCGACCGACAATGGCGTTTGAAGGTCCCGGTCGAAGACGTCGACGTCGGCTCCACGGTCCAGCAACGCTCTCACCACCTCCACATCACCCCAGTGGCACGCGAGATGCAGATACGTCTGGTCACCATGGAACCTGGGCTCGCTGATGGAAAGTCCGCGGGCCATGACCGCCAGGCTCAGTTCCCGGTTCTGCTGCATGATGGTCTTGAGCAACAGCATTTCGTTGGTGTACACCGGTCTCCCAAAATCCATCATGCAGTTGAACGTCTCGATCTGGTTCCACGGATCGCTCTGTTCGATGATACGGCACAGGTACTCCTTCACATCGGCATCGGTCACCTTGTACACCCTGTCAGCAAAGTCAAGGAGGAGCTTTAACGCCTTATGGTTGCCGCAGGAAGCGCAACTCTTCAGGGCCTCCTTGAGCTTCGTCTCTGTGAGGTTGGTCTCGTCGGCGGCGGTCAGCATTGCCTCGAGGACATCGTCCTCCGCCCAACGGATGTGTTTGATGGCGGTGTCCAGAGGGCTGCAGTTTGGCTCCTCTTCGATGTCCATGCGGGCGCCGCGTCGGAGCATAATAGAGGCGATCTCGGGCACTTCACCACGATGGTCAACTCTTATGGTCACCGCATAGCACAGTGGGGTTCGCCCGTTGCGGTCTTGCGCGTTGATCTCGGCGCCGCACTGAACGAGGGCGGCAACGGCTCGGGGCTCGGCCAGCTCGCAAGCCAGCATGAGCGGGGTCACGCCGCGGTGGCTACGCTTATCAAATTTGGCGTTTACGTCAGCCCCGCCATCAACCAAGGCCTTGATCAGCGTGACCCGATTTCCTTCGAATTCGTCGTGCTTCACCGGGGCGTCGTCCATATCAAAAAATTCAGATCGCTGCAGCATACAGTAGTACAGCGGCCGGTAGTCGCGGAAGTTGGGGATGTGCCGGTGGGGGTCGGGATTCGCGCCGATGCTGACCAGGCGGTGAGCTACAGCGTATTTGCCCCTGAAACATGCGTTGAGGAGCGGGGTATAGCCGTTATCGTTATGGGCCTCCAGGTCGGCGCCTAGGGCGAGGAGCTTTGTGATGGTGTCGCGAATGTCGCGCAGAGTCGCGCGCGCTCCAGATTTCTGAGACGTAGTGTAGCGCCGTATTACCCCACTCATCGCGCTGGTTGACGTTGAGGTTGAGGTCGTTCAGCGCCAGGAGTTTGATGACGGGGATCAGGCCGTGGGCGGCGGCCGAGTGAAGGGCCGTGTGCCGGTGTTCGGGTTTGATATCTAGCTCGAGCGATGCGCCGCGGTGGATGAGCAGCTCGGCCACCGTTCGCTCCTGGCTGCACATGGCGGTGTGTAGGGCGCGCCAGCGAGGCCATTCCGAGAGGCGGCGCGACGGGTGCCGCCCGGACTTGAGGGACTGGCAGTCGCAGACCCGGTATGATGGGGCGTCGATGTCGGCGCCGTTGTCGAGGAGCCATTCCACAATCTCCCGATGGCCGTTCTTGGCTGCCAGATGGAGCGGGGTGCAGGATGGCTGGATGCTTGGGTCGGGGGGTTCTTCGAACAGCTCGGGGGCGGGGTCAGCATCAGCATTCCCGTCGACGTCATTATCGGTCTCGATGGCTTCTGTCTCCCCAGCCTTGCGCGGTAGCGGCCCAGAGGCATTCAAATCGGCGCCTGCGGCCAGCGCATGCTTAAGGGTGCCCAACTGGCCGTTCTCGGCGCCCCAGAAGAGACACGAAGAAGCGGACAACTTGACATTATCGCGATACAACACGGGGTTAATGACCGAGTAGAACCAGCGGTTTGTGCGTCCCAGAGCGAGGCGGTCTTGCTGATCGAGCAGTTCGTCGATGAGAAGGACGATTTCGGGTGGAAGACCTAGGACCGGCACCGACAGTGCCTTTTTCGCTTTGCCCTTGCAGGCCTTGCCGTCGGGCTTTTTTGTTTTCGCTTTAGCCACAGGCTTTTTGAGCATTCCTGCTTTTCTGTGTGAAGCCATCCGAATGGGGAGGGGGGGTATAGGAGGATGGATAGATGGATGATGGCGTAGGTGGAAAGTGAGCCCGGGCGGTTGTTGAAGCCGAAGTTAGGCTGGGATTATAGCTCAGGAAGCGCTGCAGAACAGGCGGGAAGCCGCGGGGCGTTTTTGTGGGGCTGCGGAGGGCGATGCAGCTGGATTAATGGATTCTCCACTGCCAGGCGGCCGGCGGGACATGCACCCAGCCTCGCCCCGGGCTGGCGACCTCCCGGAACATTCACCAAAGCATGGAATAAAGCCTGGAATGCAAGGTTGGTCAGGCAGGCTACGAGGCCTTTTTCGCACTTTTCGGTCAGAGAACGGCAATCAGGTTGAGGATCAATGTGAAGGCGATTGCTTCGATTCGCTCAAACTGTCCATCTCTCAAGTTGCCGCTTTCCCCGCTAGGTGGCCTGCCCGCCGTCCCCCTCCGCAACCGCCGTGATTGTGCATGACGGGGCCCCTTTTCAGGCCGCTCCATCGCCGCTCTTCGCGCCGGCGGCCTCGCCACTCGCCTTCCCGGCTGTGCCACCCAAAATCGGACGGAAAAAAAATCCCACAAAAACCATCACGTCGGATTGGAGTACTGACACTGACTGAGAATCCCTCACTTTGAACCCGGCGCCATCAATGGGGACAACTGTACCCATTCAAAGCCAAAATTCAAATGCGAAATTCCTGTCGTGCTCTGAAGGCCCGCCATCTCATGACCCAGAGCCCCACTCTTGGAGCCTGGAATTGCAGATCGAGATGTCTCGATTGGGCTTGGGGTCATGCACGCCACGGACAACTCACTTCTGAGAGACGCTTCAAACAATTTCCAACTTGCGTGATGAATCCTCCTCGGCTTTCAGTGCTTGGCTCAGATAAGAGCTTTCAACGACGAATATCGTTAGCTCACTGGGCATCCTCAATCTCAAATGCGCCAAGATGGGAAATCTTATGACTGCACCTCAACGCTGCCCGTGTCTCTGAAACAACGACCCAAGGTCTGCATGCGCCTTCATATCACATATGTATGTACATACACCGGACGCAGATACGCGGGGTTCCGCCGTGTCACGAATATCCCCCGCAGGCTACACGCCAGGTGACAGCGATCCATATAATTCCGAGGACCCCCGATGTGCGCCCTGGCGACCTGCACCACACCAAGTGGCTTTTCGACTTCGTGATTCGAACTGACCAGCCCGTGGCTCTCCGCTACGAAGCATTTTGGATTCTCGCCGACAGAGAGCCATGACTTCAACGCTATTAGACTCCCTACCCTGAACCAGAGCTCCGTGATGGCCGAGCAGCGGAAAGATTGGTGGACCGAGAAGGAGGGCATGTAAACAAGAGCCGACAAAATGGAGAAGGATGGGATCCGTGATTTGCTAGTGTCGATGGAACCTAGCCATCCACGACTTGGTAAGCGGCGTTGGTGAGGCGTTCTTTAAACCCAAGAAAACGACCAACTAGGCACTCTAAGCTCTTATCCATAGGCTAAGGGGTAACTAGTAGCATTAAAAAGGACAGCATTGTGACAATATCGCGGCAGGCTTAGACATGCGGAAAAACAATGGGACGGTAACAGGCCCGTACCGCATCTGGCCATGGCATTATGTTATGGGAGATCCGATATCTTTCTGTATCCCTCCCGAACCGGGTTTCCCCCTTTTACCACTTAGCCTCCGGGGTGTCGAGGAACCCCTTGAGGATGCCGACGACCTTTTCCAACGCTTCGAGGTACTGGCGCAGCTCCACCTTAACCTTCTCTTGGTCCGAGCCGAGCTTGACATAAAAGTCCTTGCGGTAGGGGCAAGCGCTCATGGCGGCGCTGAAGACGGGCTTCACAAGGAAGCTGTGATGGGGCTTGAGGGTGACACCGTAGGCGTCGCGGAAGGAGTCGGAGAGCTCGGTCGTCTCCTGGGCCAGGTTCTGGCTGAGAGCGATACAGGTGAATTCAAGGGCCCTGCAGCGTGCCGGTAGTGTCAGTAAGCATGTCTCTGGCCCTCTAACGTGGTGGTAAGCCAAGGTATCTCACCGGACCAGCCATAGCAAACCCTCGGTGGCGGTGTGGGACTTGGTCTTGAGTTCGTTCCGGACGAGGTCCTGGATGTTCTGGGACTCGAGAGGGGCAGCGAGTTGGCGTTTCCTGAGTTTCTGAATCGGAAGAAACATTAGCTGTTGGGGAGCAGGGAGGCTTGGCATCAGGGGCTACGCACCTCGACGTTACCGAGCACGTCCTTCTTGACCGGGGAGAAGGCAACGGAGCCAAGAAGATCTTGGAAGTGTCAGGTTAGTAAACCGGAACGCTCTCTCAGCACGAGGGCAAATAATACCAAACATGGTGGTCAGAGACTCGGACGCATCGAGGAACTCGGTCGTCGAAATGGCGTTGGCATTTTCGGCGTCGATCGGGACAGTGGTGAAGCTGCCCTTGAAGGTGTCGATGTAAGTACCACCTTCGGGAATCTGAGTAGCAGCCATGATGTCTAATGTGGAAAAGTGCAGGCTCGTCGGGAAAGCAAATTTGGATTGTTGCGAGGTTCAGGTTGAGGTTGGGATATGGATGGGAAGCGGTCAGGTCTCTACCAAATAGGGACCCTCACGAAACGGGACCCGGGTTCCAGGCCGCTTCACAAGTGCCCCGCCAACAAGTTACCCCGCCCCCGCTGGCACCACCAGAACATTATTGCTGTGTACATACTGTGGGGAGGGCATCTAAACCTGCGGAGGAAACCACATTAAGCTATGGGAATTCATTCAATCTGTTTAGTCATTTCAAGACGGATCAACAACTCCCTGCACGTGCAAGAATAACGAGTAGTTGTTGTAACAGATGGAAGGGAGACTGAGGGGTCCACTTGCACCTGGGCTCGCCACTCCTTGCCAAGCGGCTTGGCCCATGGAAGCTCGGGCGGTCAGATGGCCCAAGCTCGGCCGGAATCGTTCCAGAGCGCCATGCCCCACACAAACGGGGAACCATGCGAGCCATGGTGCCCTGAAGCCATCGGCCCTAACTCCCTACAAGTGAAGTAAATCTTACGTGTATGTTCCCCTGAATGAACTCTCGAGCACTCCAAACAGAATCAATCCACAGCCTCCCTGGAACCTTGGAAACAAGCTCTGGAAAGGTGCCCAATCTGGATTCAAGACTACAGGCAAACAATGGCCCAAATCGGTCGGTTCATCGGTTCCCCCGGTTGACCGGCTCGAGACTGGGTCCGCCAGAACGACCGGGGGTCGGGTTTTTTGAGGCCCTGATTTTCCCATTACGAGAAATAGGTAACTAGCTGAGATATTCCATTACGTTAGTTAAGTGGTTATTCCCGGGGCCGCAACCAGCATCAAGCAACATCAGCAAGCACAGCTGAACACGAAAACCTTGGCTGCATGACGTCACATCCGTCCTTCGGCTTTTTACCCTTTGCTGGTCATGACCGTTCGCAGCATTTCACAAGTGAAAAGGTGGCAAGTGGTGGTTCCTCAAAATTCATGTTGGCCACAAAAAAAGACCAAAACCACACTTAGTCACCGTCACATGCACTTACCATCGCGGTGGAGAACCCAATGGCCAAATACCAATCATCTCGGTTATAATTCACCGCACTCAACCTACACTATCTATAACCTGGTTCGAACCTGATCTACCTACTACACCTTGACGCCAAAACTCCACCGAGTAAACCTTTTTTTCACCATGGCGCCTGGACCAACAACCGAGGAACCCAGCAATCATCATGGCCTGGGGAGCAAGCTCAAGCTTCCGTTTCGCGAGCTCAGAGACAGACTCAACCATAACAACCACTTGAACAACGCAAAGGTTCATTTGGTTCACCAAAAGTAAGCACCCGTGTCTGGATACCTAGTTGTCAAATACGGATATGGTGTGGAATAGATTCCATGTAAATAGATCGTTGTACTGACCACTCACCAAGACACAAGATCGGCAAGTTTGCCAACCTGGTATGATCACCCCTGAATATGTGATCACCTGCAGTCGACCTGCAGCCCCAAAACGCCAGAACCACTAACATTCTCTGCTAGTTCAACCCCGAGCATCGCCATGATGAAGAACACGAAAAAGCTTGTGACGAGAAGCGCACCAAGATTGGCGAGTCCCATCGCTTTGAGTCCTACTTCCCCGAACGCGACGGGAACATGGTGAAGTGGTATGTTGACGGTAGGGACTATTTTTGGGTATGTAGTTCTCGTTTTTGGGTTCCCTATTGCAGACCTAATCTTTACAGGTACTGATATGAAAGCAGGCAGTATCAGCCGCCCTCGAAAATGCCAAAGAAACAATTTACATTGCCGATTGGTGGCTGTCCCCCGAACTGTTCCTCCGCCGCCCTCCGTATTTCAACCAGGAATGGCGTCTCGACCAGGTCCTCAAACGCCGGGCAGAGGCTGGCGTTAAGATCTACATCGCCATCTACCGTGAAGTCGAGGCCGCCCTCACCTGCAACTCAGAGCATACCAAGCATGCCCTCCAAGCCTTGTGCCCGGAAGGTTCACCCGGCTACGGCAACATCAAGGTCATGCGCCACCCGGACCACAACGTTTTTGAGAACGCTGCCGATATGACCTTCTACTGGGCCCACCAGTATGTTAAATCCGTTTCCTTTTCATACCCTCACAGCCACCCACGATCCTCCGACGGGGCTCCCGCCCAAACTGGTTCCGATGCCGAAGGGCTAACACTTCAACAGTGAGAAATTCGTCGTCATCGACTACGAGATGGCGTTCATCGGCGGACTTGACCTCTGCTTCGGTCGGTGGGACGACCACCAGCACGCCCTGTCCGACATGCACCCCGAGGGCGTGACCAACGAGGTGTGGCCGGGTCAGGACTTCAACAATAACCGGATCATGGACTTTCAAAACGTCCAGGACTGGAAGGCTAACGAGCTGAGCAAAGAGGATTCGGGCCGCATGCCTTGGCACGACGTAGCCATGGGTGTGATCGGACCCTGTGTCTACGATATTGCCGAGCACTTTGTACTACGGTGGAACTTTGTCAAGCGCGACAAGTACAAACGGGATAAGCGGTTCGAGTGGCTCGAACTGAGGGGCCGCCAGGGGGACGACGAGGATCTGGTCGGTGTTCAGCGTCCAACTCATCCCGTTGGTGGATATGAACTTCATCCGCTGTCTCCCCTCCACACCAAGCGTCTGGACGACCGTGGGAGCGTTCATGCTCAGGTTGTCCGTTCTAGTGCCGACTGGTCCAGCGGCATTTTCACCGAGCACTCCATCCAGAACGCCTACAGCGAAATTATTCGCAAGGCGGAGCATTACGTCTACATCGAGAACCAGTTCTTCATCACTGCCACCGGGGACCAGCAGGCACCCATCAGAAACACCATCGGCAGCGCCATGGTGGATGCCGTCCTGCGGGCCGCAAAGGAAGGCCGCAAGTTCCGCATCATTGTTCTCATTCCTGCCGTCCCAGGGTTTGCTGGCGACCTCCGAGAGGACGGGGCCATCGGTACACGAGCAATCATGGACTACCAATACAAGTCGATATGCAGAGGCGAGCACAGCATCTTTGGCAAAATCCAAAAAGAGGGCGTCGATCCAACCAAATACATCTTCTTCTTCAACCTCCGCAGCTACGACCGCCTCAACCGGACCTCCAAAGTCCAAAAGCAAGAACAAGAGTCGGGAGTCAAGTACCGCGACGTCCAGCGCGCCCACGCCGAGGAAGTGATGGGCGAGGGAATCCACGGTACCATCGACGCGCAGGGCGGGCGCGACTCGCACATGGGCAAGCGGCACGAACAAGGCGGCCAACGCGGGACCGTCAACGGCGAGCTCAAGGACAACCTCGACGAGGAGCACAGACCAGACGACGTGGTGCGCGACATGGACGCCCGGCGCAAGTTCGAAGCCGCCGCCGCCGCCGCCACCAATGGAGACAGCACGTCCTCACAACAAAACAACCGCGACGCGACGGTCGCCAGCCACGCCATGGCCGGCCAGGGCCCGCTGTCCGACGTGCCTTGGGACGGCGAGGACGAGGACGAGGTCAACCACTGGATCCAGGAGGAGCTGTACATCCACGCCAAGCTGCTCATCGTCGACGACCGCGTCGTCGTCTGCGGCTCCAGCAACCTCAACGACCGCAGCCAGCTGGGCTACCACGACAGCGAGCTGAGCATCGTCATGGAGGACACGCGCCGCTTCGAGACCACGATGGATGGGCGCCCGTTTGAGGCCGGGTGGCATGCCGCGACGCTGCGCAGGTATCTCTGGCGGGAGCATCTGGGGTTGCTGCCGCCGCAGAGCTTGGATGCGGGGGGGGACCCGAATGCGCAGCCGCCGGGGGATGACTCGCCGAATGATGTGTGGGATCGGGATGAGTCGTGGAAGTTTGTGGAGGACCCATTGAGTGATGAGGTGTGGGATATGTGGACTGGGAGGGCGACGAAGAATACGGAGGTGTTTCGGCAGCTGTTCCATGCTGACCCAGACGATCATGGTGAGTTTTTGATTCCCGGCTCTAGCAAATGCCCCGTGAACTAACGAGATGTCTTAGTCAAAACGTTTGACGACTACAACGGCTTCCTGCCGGCCAAGGGCGTCAAGGCGGGCCATATCTTCGACCGCATGATCCCGCCGCAGGAGGTGAGACAGAAGCTGGAGAAGATCAAGGGTCACCTGGTTTGGATGCCGTTGGAGTTCCTCCGGGATGCCGAGATGGCGGAGAAGGGGCTGCAGGTGAATCAGTGGACCGAGAGCGTCTACACTTAGCCTCTTAGGGTGAGGGGATCGGTATGTCCGATGCCGATTATCCATGTAAACTACATACTCGGTTTTAGTCTTCGGTGGGTTGATCGGCGTTCGTGGCAAGCTGCTTTGGCTCGTTCGAGTTTCTCTCACCGCAACAGAACTCCGAGTTGTGAACCGAATTATTGTGTAGATCCGAGTTCGGGTGCCGTCTTGGCGTGGGCGCGGCATACGCTTCCGCTTCTGCCGATTGGCCTCAGAAAGGGAACGATGCCCCGTTGAGCAGCTCAGCTCATGCAGGAACGCCAAGCTAACACAGCAGCCGTGAAAACAGCCACTCAAATGCTGGGGAGGGTGAGACAACATCCGTGCAGCCAATATCACGCACATGGAGGTTTGTCTCCAGAACAGCATGCCGGCACGTGGAGCGCGGTGAGAGCGGCTGTCTGTCTCTAAGATGTCTTGTCAGTATGGAGAAGGCATGGGAGGGAGGAAGCAGGGGAGGATGTCTAGGGTTATAAAAACCACGCCGCCACCGCCGCGATGGATCGTGAGACCGGCTCTCATCTCCAAGTTGCACATCTGTAACACTAGGTCATACACACAGCTTCAAGCTTCAAGCCGAATCAACCGCCCTCGGCCTCCTCCTAATCACTAATACCCCCTTTAATAACACAACCCTCCCCCCCCCCCCCCCCCC